TAACTTTTCTTAAGTCAGTTTTTTTTTTTTTTCTGGACTGTTTTTTTTTTTTTCCCCGCTCGCACCGACTTTGGGGTCCCCAGAGGATGTCATCCATAAAAATAAAAAAGTGTGGCCTAAAATCAAGGTGCATTTCGCGCAGCGGTGTCCACCAAATAAGACGAATTTCCCTGAGATTACACTAACTCGTGTTTGGGTGTCGAATTCGTTTTTTCATATAAAAATGTAAATGTAAATACCGCTTATTATAATTTCATTTAAAAAGAAACAGTATCAAAGAGTGCTCTATACTAGAGGGCAGAATGATGAAACTAATTCCATGCATAAATGCTCTCTTTACAGTAGAAAAATGCCATGGAAGGAATAGCCAGAGGCATATCTGTGAACAATTAGTAAAAATCACTTTGACACTCTCTCTCTCTCTCTCTCTCTCTCTCTCTCTCTCTCCTTTTTTGGACATTTTAGGCAAAAATTACTTGAAAAGATGAGAGCAATTGTCCCAAAGAGCGGATTGACCATCACCAGCACAGAGATGGACATCCCCATGTAGTTTCGCGGCTTGACGCGAGGTCTGACGAACACAGTTTTGGTTGTCACAGTAGCGGGCTGGTTCACAAACACCTAATCGAAATAATGGCGAAAAAAGCTCATGAAATCCATACAAACCAATGCTAAAAATGTAGATTTTCGGTAATTATTCTATCAAAATCGTGTAGGTGACAATCATACGTAAGTGACCTGTTTTAATAAATGTACTTTAAAGTCCTGATATCAAGGCGTCACACCCCACCCCACCCCCTCCTTCTTTTACGTAACCACTCAAAACTTTAGGATAAGTTTCTGAACAAAGCTTAAAATCGTATCGCCCCAAAGAATACCGAATTACAAACCTACCCTCTAACAGGGTGATTGATAGATTTTTTACAGATATTCACAGATATGTATCTAGCTAGATAGATGGTCATTTTGGGCTGAAGTCAGCCTGTTGAGAAATCTCAAGGCTGATTACATGCCTGGTAATTGTTTGCATAACTGCTCAGGCACTGCCACTTAGCAGGTCCAGTCTAAGTCTGCGTGACAGCAATCAAGACAGTTAATTACTCTGACTTCAATCACTTGCTCTTCTGTGACAGATAAAAAAGCTTTAGACTGGTTGCGTAACGAGCAGTTATCACATCGTTGTGAAGCACAGCTCATGCAGAGCGAGTACAAAGCCTTTGGCGCGCGCGCAGAGATAATTGTTTCCACATGGGATTCCTCAACAGGGTGACTTCAGCCCAAAATGACCATCTATCTAGCTTGAGACATATCTGTGAATATCTGTGAATATCACTCGCCTTGGTATCACAGGGTATAACAAACCTGTGTTTTGGGTGCAGTCGGTGCAGGATTGTATGCAAGCAGAGGTCCTTGGTCGTACCCATAGTGTGGGTTTTGTTGTGGATAAGCCTCCGGGAACGTTGTCATGGGTTGTGCCATGTTGCAGAGCTGAAACAGAAAGGCAGAGAGTGATACTATAATATGAGGACTGAAACGTCACCAAAATCAGAAGTGAATGTCATTCAGTTATTTTTTTATTAATATATCTTCTATTGTTCATTTATCTATTCATTTGTGTGCGCGTGTGGCCTATTTCAACTGAAATCTCCTTGTACTGTATGTAATCTTAATATGGTCGACCTTAATACTGATTTTATGGAGATACGAATTAAAGATATATAGGCGTACACTTCCGTATGTTTTTTTTTATAAAATACCGTAATTACGCAATATGGCTATCCTGGCTTTCACTTACACATACCGCATGCTATTGAAAAACTTCATTAGGATAGCATCAAAATTATACGGACATACACACAATGGAAAATAGTAGTGTCACCCCTACTGAACCAATACTTTGGGGGAGATAAATGACTGTGGAATGATATGCTCCTGCTATAATTTTATTAACATCAAATTTCACAAAAAAAAAAAAAAAATTCCATGGTACAGCGGTTTTATACTCATTAGTCACATTATAAGTAGACCAGGCATTAAAACTACTCAATATTTGCCTACTTTGATTACTCTGATTCAGGGGGTGACACTTCTATTGTCCATTGTGTGTATTTTGATATCTATGTGTCCTTAAAACAAACACCCCTTGATGCCAAAGTCCTCTCCATTAACTTTGGTCAACTGATATGTTTATTATCGGGAACAGATATGCGTACTTCACCGTTCAACTGCTGACAAGATATAATGTTTTTTACCCCCCTCAAGCGCTGGCGGAACGCATCCAGTGTCTTTTCCCAATGTTATTGTTTAACGCTTCCACTATAGGCTTGTGTAAAGTGATACTTGTATTTACCTGGCTACATTTCGCCTTACGCAGAGCGATTTTCTAAATTTCCATTTATGAAGGATAGCGAAAAGATGGTAAAGTCCAAACCCCCAAAAAATACCTAAGTCGAGAGTCTTGATGATGCGCGTGACGTGCGTTGGACGCTCTAGACAACCAGAGGCAAGTCATAGTGAATTTAACATCTTGGGCGTATTGTTTTCACGATCGGATATTCCGCTAGTTTAACGGATGTCTGTCGATACTGATAAGAATTCAAAGAAATTGTTTTAATCTCTGATTTTTTGTACTTAGAAGGCAACATGTGCATTGTTGATATATTCCTTTTTTCTTACGACAAAAATAATTTTAAAACAAAGTGATTATTATTTTTGTTAAGCTGTACTGTTTTCACAGAATGAACTGTAATTTGAAATATGGTATTTCTGCCCTAAATTTACATCTGCCATGATCTCCACATTAATTTGATGACTACCTCGGCAGCGGGTGTAAAATCTCAGGACAATCGAACATTTCAGTAAATAATTATACTGATAAGTTGAGACTAAATGTCATCAGTTCATTATGAATTGAAATGAAGACAAAGCTGCACCAAGTGGCAATGAAACCAGGCCCTTGGTTATCATTAATAGAGATATTTAAAGTGGTTTTAAAAAGAGCACTCAAGTGCATCACTATGTATTGTAGTAATTGTGATATTTTTTTAAATTATTTTAATTCTCTGAATCATATCTGAATGTCAAGAGATGCTACTGGTCCGGATTGTTCGAATGGTACAGCGCTCGCCTACTGTGCATGGCGCCGTGGGTTCGATCCTCAGGGACTTACCTGCTGTCTCTTCGCTTTGCACAGCTATAGTTGGTCTTAAAAGCGAAAATGGTGAGAGTATGGAAATACCCTAACCTTTGCAAGGAGAAATATGGACTCCTACATTTTATATTTTCTTTCGAGGGGATTTTCGTTGTTTTTTATCAGCAAAATGGTATTTTATACATAAACACATATTAACACATATAGAAACCCCATAACTTAATTCAAATTTTCCCCAAGACTGTGGGCGAATCGGTTAATACAAGTCATATAAAGCAGAATGCCTTGTAGGAATTTCCGTGGTTGTTTTACCAGAAAATGAAAAAAAAACAAAACAAACAAAAAACGAGGCTCTACCCTGGTTACAGCAATGCAGCTTTCATTATTCCTTTTTAAAGTTTGGTTTTGGTATATTGAGTGCAAGTCTAATATAAATGAGAAAATTTATTGTTCAGGGTAATTCAGCTTTACTGTGCAAAACAGACAGAATCTGAACCCTCGTTTTATTTGCATTTGACCCATTACAGTAGATGCATTTGATATACTAGGTCACTTTTTACTTTTGATACATGTTAGAGTAGAAAATGAGAATAACGGCGGCTAAGGAACTTGCCAAACGCTTGGCGCACTCACCTGTAACAGTCGACTGTTTGACGAGTTCTATAGAAGCGTCGCTCTTAGCTGAGAGACCAGGCCGTTTTGGTTATCTTAGGATTGCCAATCCCACATCAGTGTAGATCTCGTGACCTCTACGTCATCGCCCCTTTTACAGCGACTATATACCTGGGACATCTTTTAAAGATAACTAAGTTATTTAATCTTCGAAAAGAAAACAGCACTGGCTGGTTGTATATTAAAAATCCCATTTTTTCCGTAAAAGGTTAGTCATGGAGGTTACGGTAATAAAAAGACTTTTAACATGATTTCGACTGTAAAGTCGATGGAAAGTGAAACAAACCAAAAAAATTGAAATACCGTTTTTCAAGAACAGCTGTTGATTAAATTTAGTTTTTTTTTTGAATGAAATGAATCACTTAATCTGCTTTAGGATAAAAAAATACATTCTGTGATCAATTTGTAATCCTGTCGCTGCTGTTAAACCGACAAGAACCTCCACTTTACATGTATATGTTTCAACACGCACGTGCATGAAGCATTTTAATAATAACTATTATCGTGCCTAAAATGTCTTCACAGATAAACGATTCGACGTGACCTTTATAACACCTCTTATCCGATATCTATTTATTGGGTCGTTGTGTTACAGTGATTAAATGTCTCATTCCCACTGCCGTCACTGTATAGTATGTACGCTTTTTTTTTTTTTTTTTTTTTTTTTTTTGGGCCTCTGTCATACACGTATAACACTCTTTATATTACATGTAGTGCAGACATACATGTATATGTATAAACAAGGAACAATGACTAGATAGCCGTTCTTTGGCACTCAGATATTGCACCACATTTATAGATGTGTCATGGTGAAATATAATCTACTTCCTTTACTACGTAGTGATGTCAAAACACATGGAACAAGATGCGGTTGCTGTACCCCTTGTGTTGATAAGATTTCATTGGAAATGAAATTGTTTACCACAATGGGACGACCTCTCTCTCGTTTAAGGCAGTGCGAAATGATTACTAAGAAGCAACTCTAGGAGGAAAGTTGGGGTAGAGAAAAATGAGCAAAATGTACTGAAATTTAACAACACATTTTAAAAAGCAGTCTTTGTTCCAAAACACTTGTGTAATTATGTAGAACAGTTAGTAAAGCAAGAGAATGTCCTTCCCCTCATGAAAATTGAAAACGATGATCTGATCTTTACAGCGAATATGCTTGAACTTATCCGATTTCCTGTCTCCAGTAACAACTTTTTTGTTAAATAAAGTGTTTAGTGTGGCCTAGGGCTGAGAAAAGAGCAAGGTTAAGCTGCACTTCAGTATTTGATCACATTTATCAAGGATAATAATTATCTTTCATCGACTGGTCCGGTGAGATAGACAATGAACAATCGAATTAGTCGACCAGCAATTGACTAAGTTAAATATTTATCTGTATAGATCAACTTAAATTTCCAGGGACTGGTGAATGAATAATTGAACAAAAATCAAGGATACCCTTAATTCTTACCTCTACATATATTTAACGTTAGCAATGCAAATATATCTTATTTTCTAGTTTTGATTTGGCCATACATTCGGCCATCGGAGAAAAATGATAAGAGGGCTGTATTTTACGACGGATACCCAGATTTGGCTCATACAGCTGTAACAGAATGTCAGTACGCATTTCACAGTATCATACCTCGAACAAATTTTGAGTGGTGATGCAATACTTTGAAGTTTGCGAATCATCACTATCACATCGCGTAGTAGGCAAGACTAAAATAAAAATAGGGANCCTTGACATTGTCTAAAAGCTATACATATCACTGGATCAATTTATTTCAAAGTTTCTACAAACCCCATAACTTAAGTTTTTCCCAAGACTGTGGACGAATCGGTTAATTCAAGGCATATAAAGCAGAATGCCTTGTAGGAATTTCCGTGGTTGTTTTACCAGAAAATGAAAAAAAAAAAGAAACGACGCTCTACCCTGTTTACAGCAATGCAGCTTTCATTATTCCTTTTTAAAGTTTGGTTTTGGTATATTGAGTGCAAGTCTAATATAAATGAGAAAATTTATTGTTCAGGGTAATTCAGCTTTACTTTGCAAAGCGGACAGAATCTGGACCCTCGTTTTATTTGCATTTGACCCATACAGTAGATGTATTTGATATACTAGTTCACTTTTTACTTTTGATACATGTTAGAGTAGAAAATGAGAATAACGGCTGCTAAGAAACTTGCCAAACGCTTGGTGCACTCACCTGTAACAGTCGACTGCTTGACGAGTTCTATAGAGGCGGCACCCTTAGCTGAGAGACTAGGCTGTTTTGGTTATCTTAGGATTGCCGATCCCAAATCAGTCTCGTGACCTCTACGTCATCGCCCCTTTTACAGCGACTATATAGGCCTACCTGGGGCGTCTTTTCAAGATAACTAAGTTATTTAATCTTCGAAAAGAAAACAGCACAGGCTGGTTGTATATTTAAAATCTCATCCATGCAATGTCACCGTAAAAGGTTGATCATGGAGGTTAGGGTAATATAAAAAGACTATTAACATGATTTCGTCTGTAAAGTCGACCGAAAGTGAAACTAATCAAAAAAATATTGAAATACCGTTTTCCAAGAACAACTTCTGAATAAACTTTGTTTTTTTCTTTAATGAAATGGGTCACTTAAACTATTTTAGGATAAAGAAAGTACATTTTGTGACGAATTTGTAAAGCTGTCGCTGCTGTTTAACCCACAAAAACCTCCACTTCACATGTATATGTTTCAACACGAGCGTACATGTAGCACCTAAATAATAACCATTATCATGCTTAAAATGTCTTCACAGATAAATGATTCGACTTGACCTTTATAACACCACTTATCCGATATCTATTTATTGGGTCGTTGTGTTACAGTGATTAAATGTCTCATTCCCACTGCCGTCACTGTATAGTATGTACGCTCTTTTTTTTTTTTTTTTTTTTTTTTTTTTTTTTTTTTTTGAGCGTCTGCCATATTCGTATAACACTCTTTATATTACATGTAGTGCAGACATACATGTATATGTATAAACAAGGAACAATGACTAGATTGCCGTTCTTCGGCACTCAGATATTGCACAACATTTATAGATGTGTCATGGTGACATATAATCTACTTCCTTTACTACGTAGTGATATCAAAACACATGGAACAAGATGTGGTAGCTGTTCCCCTTGTGTTGATAAGATTTCGTTGGACATAAAATTGTTAACCACAATCGGACGACCTCTCTCGGTTTAAAGGCAGTGCGAAATGATTGCGATTTACTAAGAAGCAAATCTAGGAGGAAAGTTGGGGTAGAGAAAAATAAGCAAGATGGACTGAAATTTAACAACAAATTATAAAAAGCAGTCTTATTGACTGAAATTTAACAACACATTATAAAAAGCAGTCTTTGTTCCAAAACTGGTCTGGTGAGATCGACAACGAACAATCGAATTAGTCAACCAGCAATTGATTGAGTTAAATATTTATCTGTGTAGATCAACATAAATATGAATGAAAACGACGAAGCTTTTGGCATATGCCCCTTTTCCAGGGACTGATGAATGAATAATTAAACAAAAGTCAAGGATACGCGATACATGGACAACAACCTGCTTCGTCCATGCGTGACGTTAAGTGCACGTGACGTAAAAGCACGTGCTGATGATTGAACGTCGTACAATGTATAAATATTTTGTAAAATTGAATAAATCGATAATTTAAAAAAACGAAATTAATAAAACATAAATTAATCATGTATTTACTTCATTCCATTGTAGGGATTACTTTGATAATAACAACCAATAAAATACAAAGAGGGCCGGTAATCACAACATATGTGACGACGTTACTGACTTTGACTTACTTGTTACGCAAGGTAAGAACTAAACAACTACCATGTTCCTTCATATCCTTTATTATCACTTTCTAACTACGCTATCTACAATTTACATAGTTTTTCCAGTTTACATAAAATTCTGCGCTTAAGTACAACAAGGTCATGTCAATCAAGTCAAGTAACACTACTTAACACTCCCTACTCCTTGTACATTCGTGGCTGTCAATTACTAACATTACACATACAAGGATGCCCTTAATTCTAACCTCTACATACTATTAAACGTTAGCAATGCAAATATATCTTATTTTCTAGTTTTGATTTGGCCTTACAAAAAGACATTAGGTCATCGGAGAAAGATGATAAGAGGGCTGTATTTTACGACGGATACCCAGATTTGGCTCGTACAGCTGTGACAAAATGTCAGTAAGCATTTCACAGTATCATACCCCGAACAAATTTTGAGTGGTGATGCAATACTTCGAAGTTTCAAACCCCGCTGAGAATTATCACTATCACATCGCGTAGTAGGCAAGAGCGGTGTCGCGTCTGATACTTCGAAGCGCGTACTGATACACACCTTGAGAACGGGTAGAGTAGTCTGATCTACCGGTGAATTATAAGATCATTCGGTGCCGAGTCTGGTAGTTGGGTAGGCCTGAGTATAGACAGATTAAAACAATAACAATTAAATTTTATTTACATATTTATTTGATAAATGTAACAGTTTTTTTTTTACAATATCACAGATGTTTCTATGAACTATTTTAAATATTTTTTAAACCCGTAATCACATTGCTTGACTCAAATTTCACAAGTTGCATAAAAATAAAGTAAAAAAAGACAATTGTGTAAATATATATAAAGATATATTTATTCATATTCAAAATGTTAATCATGGTTTAATTAATTTGTGTTATTGGAGATTGTAAAAAAAAGAAGGGTACACTAATCACAAAACATCTTCACGTTATTAGGAGTTCATTACGGTTGTCTTCGCTTTCATTTGATATCATTTTCAACAATTTTCCAGAGTTGTCTATGTACAGCCAGAAATGCTTCGTTCAAACACCTTTATATTTAGCCTGATTTAATTCCCACCTCACTATGTATAAAGAATGAGTGGATAAGAACAATGGTGGAAATGTCGAAATGTATTGTTTTAACATTTGTAAGTTTTGTGTAATTCACCACATTCAATTCATCAATTTTGCAAAGTAGTAAGGTGATCACAAAGTAACCTACATTTCAGTTTAAAGCCTCATTAGAATTCATCATTTCTTTATAATCCTTGAGTTAATGCAAAATTAAATTTATTTCAACAAAAAATAATAATTATTATTATTATTATAAGCACGCACGCAGAGTAGGGAACTCTGAACACTGAACGAATGACAGAAAAACTATTAAGAAAATATTGGTAATTAATATCATACTACATGCATAATTGCATTGCTTGTAATCGATATTAATAAAATATTGATTATAAACATCTTACTAGGTACATTGTTTATAGTCAATACTAATAAAATACTGATTATAAACAATATAACCAGTATGATGTAGGTAGCTTACTCACAAAATCTTGCATGAAACTTTTTTGAACAGTGGTTTGCCATTAATTAAGGCATTTTACGTAAAGGGAAAGAATAGTCCTCAAGCACAGATCTTCTGTGGACATTGGCCAAAGCAACTATACGTTTATAGTTAGGTTTCGTCATAGATTGAATCGGAAACTGCCCCTATTTCCACGAAATACCAAACAATGGCCACGACTGTCACAATGATGCTTGTCACCATTCCAATGATGTTTAGCCACAAGGCTATCTTTCCCTTGCTCCGGGCTCCCTCCACATCTCCGGAGCCGTAGTCGCAGTCCGATAACACTGAAGAGAAAGAAAGAAATTCACGTATCTTAGTATCATGATGTGTGTAGTTCAAAGACGTGCGTACGTCCGTTCTACTGAAAATCTCTGTGGCTGGTATTATAGGTGTGTATGACTGAAATCTTCATATCTTGAAGTTCGATTTCACTGTCGTTGAATGACAGTGTGTGTGTGTGTATGTGTGTGTGTGTGTGTGTGTGTGTGTGTGAAGATAAAGCAGCATTTTATGGTTTAAGTATTTGTTATGCTGAATACAGGTTTTTTTCATAAAATCAAGGTGCATTTCGCGCAGCGGTGTCCACCAAATAAGACGAATTTCCCTGAGATTAAACCAACTCGTGTTTGGGCGTCGAATTCTTTTTATATATATATATATATAAAAATGTAAATGTAAATACCGCTTCTTATAATTTCATTTAAAAAGAAACAGTATCAAAGAGTGCCCTATACTAGAGGGAAAAATAATGAAACTAATTCCATGCATAAAAACTCTCTTTACAGAAGAAGAAAAAAATGCCATGAAATAGCCAGAGGCATATCTGTGAACAATTAGTAAAAATCACTTTGACTCTCTCTCTCTCCCTCCCTCTCTCTCTCTCTCTCCCTCCTTTTTTGACATTTTAGGCAGAAATTACTTGAAAAGATGAGAGCAATTGTCCCAAAGAGCGGATTGACCATCACCAGCACAGAGATGGACAGCCCCATGTAGTTGGGCGGCTTGACACGAGGTCTGACGAACACAGTATTGGTTGTCGCAGGAGCGGGCTGGTTCACGACCACCTAATCGAAATAATGGCGTAAAAAAGCTCACGAAATGCATACAGACCAATGCTAAAAATGTAGATTTTCAGTAATTATTCTATCAAAATCGTGTAGGTGACAATCATACATAAGTGACCTGTTTTAATAAATGTACTTTAAAGTCCTGATATCCAGGCGTCACCCCACCTCCTTCCCCCACCCCTCTTTCTTTCACGTAACAACTCAAAACTTTAGGTTAGGTTTCCGAACAGATGCGCTTAAAATCGTCTCGCCCCAAGGAATACCCCATAACACACCTGTGTTTTAGGTGCAGACGGTGCAGGATTGTATGCAGGAGGTCCTTGGTCGTACCCATAGTGTGGGTTCTGCTGTGGATAAGCCTCCGGGAACGTTCTCATGGGTTGTGCCATGCTGCCGCGCTGAAACAGAAAGGCAGAGAGTAATACTATGATATGAGAACTGAAATGTCACTAAAATCAGAAGCCATGCAGTTAATTATTTTTTATTAATATATCTTTAATCTTCTATTGTTCATTTATCTTTTCATATGTGTGCGCGTGTGTGTTCGTGTAGTATATGGTTAGTTGTAATTAATAACTTTGCAGTTCTACCGGTAGATGCCGTACGGTCGCAATTATCAAGTTCAGTAGCATTAATCAATATAAGAGAAGAAAGGAAGAATTTGCACAATGTTATTTTCATGGCATCATGGACCCTGTTTGTTTGAGGTAAACTTGAAACCTATTTCAACTGAAATCTACTTGTACTGTATGTAATCTTAATATGGTCGACCTTAATACTGATTTTATGGAGATACGAATTAAAGATATAATAGGCGTACTTCTCTCCGTATGTTTTTATCAAATACCTTTACTACGCAATATTGTTTTCCTGGCTTTCACTATAAAAAGCATACCAAATGATGTAAGATATACTTCTTCCCTATTTAATTCTCTTTCTGACACAATGCACATACCACGTGCTATTGAAAAACTTATCAAAATTGTACGGACACGGCGAAAAAAGCTCATGAAATCCATACAGACCAATGCTAAAATATATAGATTTTCAGTAATTATTCTATCAAAATTGTGTAGGTGGTTATCATACGTAAATGACCTGTTTTAATAAATGTACGTACTTTAAAGTCCTGTTTTATGAGGCGTCACCTCCCCCCCCCCCCCCCCCACACCCCACACCCCTCCTTCTTTTACGCAGTCACTCATAACTTAAGGTAAAGTTTCTGAACAGATGCGCTTAAAATAGTATCGCCCCAAGGAATACCCCATTACACACCTGTGTTTTAGGTGCAGACGGTGCAGGATTGTATGCAGGAGGTCCTTGGTCGTACCCATAGTGTGGGTTCTGCTGTGGATAGGCCTCCGGGAACGTAGTCATGGGTTGTGCCATGCTGCCGAGCTGAATCAGAAAGGCAGAGAGTGATACTATGATATGAGGACTGAAACGTCACCAAAATCAGAAGTGAATGTTATTTAATTATATTTTATTAATATATTTTCTATTGTTCATTTATCTATTCATATGTGTGACCTATTTCAACTGAAATCTCCTTGTGCTGTATGTAATCTTAATATGGTCGACCTTAATACTGATTTTATTGAGATACGATAAAAGATATATAGGCGTACACTTCCGTATGTTTTTTTTTTTTATAAAATACCGTAATTACGCAAAATGGTTATCCTGGCTTTCACACACCGCGTGCTATTGAAAAACTTCATTAGGATATTATCAAAAAATTATACGGACATACACACAGTGGAAAATAGAAGTGTCACCCCTACTGAACCAATACTTTGGGGGAGATAAATGACTGTGGAATGATATGCTCCTGCTATAATTTTATTTACATCAAATTACACACAAAAAAAAAAAAAAAAAAAAAAAAAAAAAAAAAAAAAAAAAAAAAAAAT